CAGCATTGGGTTGTATTTAACCCAGCATTTTTTAGAGTGTAGCTACTGAATCACGCTCTCACATAAAGACATGAAGATAGTTTCATCTCGCCTATATGAAATAGAATACTGTCAACCTGAAACGTTACCCATATGTGTGTAGTTTGTGTGCTTTAGGCTACACAAGAACTAATTGTTCACATATAATTTTGAAAAATCAATCAACCCATAGAGTCACAGGATCAAAATGAAGGGGCATGGCAATCATTTCAGAAGTGAGGGGGACATTATAAGACCTGTTTTTCTGACAGGCTGTTACATTTTCTCTCCTCTTTTGTCAAGATTGTATTTTTGAATATTTGTATTGTCCTATGCTTATTTATGTTTTGAGTAAACAGAAACCAGTGTTTTTCCAACCATGCAGCTCTCATTTGGCAAAGCTGTGAGTGTGATACACGAGTAGGCCTAAGTACAACCTTATTTACAATCAAAACTTGAACCAGTGCACAATATAGGCTATCCCTCCAGACTTCCCATCTAAGAGCCTCAACACTGACTTTTAGTTTCAGCATTTACACATAGGCTATACACTCTAAAAAATGCTGGGTTAAATATAACCCAGCGCTGCACTGTAAAAAATGGTTGTGATTTTAACAGTAAAAGACTGTAAAAATGCTACAGTAAAATCCTGTTAACTGGTTAACAGTAAGTTTCCATACTATATTCGGTGAATAAATGTAATTATATTTAATGTGATTCTACAGTAAAATACTGTTAAAAATATGGTTTTTGAAAGTGAAAAAGAAAAGGTGATTGTATAATTTACAGTGAAAAAACTTAAATTGACACTCCCAGAATGCCCTTCATGACACTTCATATTTCATGTTTTTTTCTCATTTGGCAAAGCTGTGAGTGTGATACACGAGTAGGCCTAAGTACAACCTTATTTACAATCAAAACTTAAACCAGTGCACAATATAGGCTATCCCTCCAGACTTCCCATCTAAGAGCCTCAACACTGACTTTTAGTTTCAGCATTTACACATAGGCTATACACTCTAAAAAATGCTGGGATAAATATAACCCAGCGCTGCACTGTAAAAAATGGTTGTGATTTTAACAGTAAAAGACTGTAAAAATGCTACAGTAAAATCCTGTTAACTGGTTAACAGTAAGTTTCCATACTATATTCGGTGAATAAATGTAATTATATTTAATGTGATTCTACAGTAAAATACTGTTAAAAATATGGTTTTTGAAAGTGAAAAAGAAAAGGTGGATGAAAATTGATCTAAGGGCGCTCTTGCTTAATTTATTTTTATTACAATTAAGGGTGGTTAGTGTACCTCCGTGTCAACAAAACAAACAGACGCCTTATGATCATGCATGTCTCCCTCTAGTGGAGGAGTCGCTTAAGTAGACAGAGGAGTGGCCGATTGGTTTGTGCCCTTTTTAAGTCAATGCCTGTCATCTGGCTGGAATGCGCTCCTCACACACTGCAGCTCTCAGCTCGGCTATAGCAGTCTTATCTTCTGTCTTAACATTCCTCCAGACCGCGCACATTAGAGCTTACATCGACAGCACCGGTAAGTAGACAGTGTTTTAATTAATAGACCGTAATAAAGTATTTTTAAATAACCTTTTTTAATTAAGCATTATGCAATATTAACACGAAGCACAAGAGATAAATCATACTGTTGTGCTATGGAAAGTTTATTGGAGGTAATTTGTGGCTTGCAAATGTCCCCGAAAGTGTTTTGCGCATTTTCTGTTTCTGACTTCTGACAGTAAGATATGTTTACGTTGTGCTGACTGACATTCAGCCTACAGCATTTATATCCAGGTAGACTATTCATGTAAAAGAAATGCTTGAAATTCAGATTTATTAGAACTGAATCAATCATTTGACACGAAACGTAGGCTACACCCTTGAAATAAAGGCAGCGTCTGTTCTGTAAAGAACCATTCGTGCGTCTGCTTTGCTTTGTTTATGAATGTAGCGCTTCTAGCAGTTTACTTTCTGGCCATCTCCCCATCAGCTTGAAAACTTCAGAATGTCTGACTCCTTAAACTACACAACATCTCCACTGCCCTCCAGTGTTCCATCAGTCGCTGGAGACTCAAACGCCACATTATGCCAGGACTGGGAGCAGTCCCATCACCTGCTGTTCCACCTGGCCAACCTGAGCCTTGGTCTAGGTTTCCTCATCCCCTCCACAATAGCGCTTCATATGATCTTCCTCAGACTGCTGCTGATGACAGGTACAGAGCGCCCTGTTATGGTGGTCAACAGAATAGCGACGCGCATGCATTTGTTTGGCTGACAATGAATGCAAGTTAAAACGTAGGCTAGTTATCTTAACATCATGAAGATTAAAATGGTCGTACACATCTACTGAAACAATTGAAATAATCGGCCTATAAGAAGTTTAGAAGGTATGATTGAACTTCATGCATTGTAGTTTTAATTCCATAAAGTTTGTTGCAGTCAATTCCTTTTCAATTGTTGAGCTGAGATATTAACATATTAATGTGCTTCTTTAAATGTAGGCTACTTCAAAAAAAAAAAAAAGTAAGGCCTAATATAAGATGAGGTATTAAAACCTAATACCTTTTTGGTAATTGAAATAACATTGAAATAAAATATTAATATTGTATTATAAAACTTTAATGAAAATCAGAAATGTCTTGGCAACTAGATGAAATAAAAAAGTTGATTTTGGTGTGCTATTAATTAAAACTACAACTGAAAGAAAAAAATAAAGATATAAAACAAATAAAAGAATGTAGCAAAATTACTAAAAACTTAAAATCTGAAGATATAAAATGAAAGCTATTATGTATCAAATATATCAAAATATGAATACATA